TTCATACTTTGTTCTCATTTTGTTTTGATTGGCATTTGCTTAATATTTCCTTGTTTTTAAATTAAAGTTCATATATATGTTCAAAAAGTAAAAAATACAAAGCTATCCATCTCAAAGTCTTTTGAGGAAAAGGTGAAAATATAAGCTGAGTCCATTTCCTCAACAAACCTTAACTGAGCACTTACTATGTTCAGACTGCATTTGCATGCCAGCCCCACCTCCTACCAGCTCAGACTTTGAACAAGTTACTTCATCTCTCCATGCTGCCACTTCCTCCTGGGTGAATTGGAAGAACCAACAGGTCTTACCTCATAGTGCTTCTGTAAAGATGAAATGAGATAACGCTTGGAAACTAGTAGAACAGTCCTTGGCACTCAGTGTTGGCTACTGCGATAATGATGGTTGAACACTCTGCTAGGCAATAAGAATACCAAGAAGATGAGGAAAACACAGAAGCATTCACAGTCCAGTGAGAGAATGGACAGAGTAAACACCCTGGCAGATGCCATGTGATAAAGTGCAATAATGGAGCCACAAAGTATGAACTATGAGAACTCAGAAGAGGGAGCCACTTCTGCCCTGGGGAAAGTGAGTCATGGGTGGAGTGGCTGTTCTTGCTCTGCCCTGTTTGCTTCTGCTGTTCTTCAATGCTCCTGTGACCCTCAAACGCCCCGGGCTGTGTCTGAAGCCGAAGGATGAGGCAGACGGAGGACGTGCCTCCTTGTGCCCTGAGCAGCGTGCTGAATCAGGGCTCCTGGCCAAGGCAGTAATTGCCAGCCGCTGAAAGATATTAAGCGCCAGGGAGGAAAACCAAGTTCTCTATGAGGCAGACTTTTCAGAGTTCTTACAGCTTGTAAAAAAAAAAAAAAAAAAAAGTAAATAGTTACCCAGTGAGATATTATTTCATGTTGTTGCCATTAGGGTTTGAGTGTTATGCAGAGAGCAGCGATCACTCAGGCAATTCTGCCTCAGTGAGGACTGGAAACTACACATTAACCCAACACAACAAATCTACCACCTCAAGCTCTCAACCTGACTCAGGCTTTTTTTTTTTCTGGATGGTGAATTTTATGTAAATGAAAGTTGAGGGGAGAGGGAATCTATAAATATTCAGAATTTCTTAAAGGATGCTAGGTAGAAGAGTTGATCTCATTTCCATGGAATTCTGGGGCAGCTTGGACTCTTCTTATCAGCTTCCCTAGGCTAGGACTGGCAGTTTAATGGATCCATATCAATAGCCTCACAAATGCGGCTGATGCTATCAATCACAACCATGTGCTTGCCTGAGCCAAGCATCATCTTCCAATTCTGAGGTGACCGCTTTTGTGTTTTATAGATGAGGGAAACTCAGGCAGGTCAATTTCCAAGGTCACCACGCTGGTATATGGTGGGGCAAGGATTCAAGCTTCGACCTCTTGGCAACTGAATTCTCTTGCAAAGGGAAGCACAGCCAAGTGGTTCAGAGTTTGCATCCCAGAGACCCAATTCCAGAAGCCTCTTGTGCCCCTGAGTAGTCAGGTGACTTCAGATAAATGACCTCTCCTGACCTCACTCTCAGCAGTAAATGGGGGGAGGGACTTGATGCTTATCATCAAATGACTGAATTGTCATTATTCACCACAATGTCCTGGAGCACTCTCAAGTGGTCCTCACCTCTAACCTATTTTGATGTTGCCCTCTCATTCCAGGGACAATCTAAGGTCTTGGACATAGGGAACCCCCTTAACCAGACATCTGTTACCTTTCTTCAAGAGGAGGACTGGTGCTGTATGTCTTGTAAAACAACATCTTTCGTGGTCTTTACAACCACACCCCTAACATAGTGCTCTGCCCACAGCTGGCCTTCAATAAACACGGTTCTGCTGAATGCTGACTGACTCATATTCTCTCCCAGGTAACAAGCTTTGCCTTTGAAAACCTCTTTGCTTTCAGGCCACTAAGGGCCCCATTTGGAGCTCTGTGTTGGTTAGAGTTTCAGCTAAGTGAACGTCAAATACCGCTTGTAATAATCCTCTGGTAGTGTTTTAATTAGGCCTCTGGCCTGGCTAAGTATGTTTTTCCGTTTCTTTCCTAAGACAACAGGATACATCCTGCCAAAGGGGCCTATAGCAGTCCTCCTCAGCACCTTTTCTCTGGAAAAGAGGACAATCCGCACCTCAAAGCTGTCTGACGCCCACTGTTCTATCACACTTCTGTGAATCAAGGGTGTTAAATGTTTTGGAAAGACAATATGTAATCACCTAAGTACACACCCCACCCCCTCCAGCTTGGCCATGATGTCTTTCACGATTCCTTTCTCCCTTCCAGTTGCTTCCTTTTTTCCTGCCCCAAATAGTAAATATTCTTTCTCTCCTTTCTGCTATCTCCTGTTCCTTCCTTTCCTTCCAAATTTTTAAGTGCTTTTCTTTCTCCCCTTTCCTCCTTCCTTTTGCTCTCAACTTATTTCCCATTAATCAACTCTAACACATATCTGCTTGGGTCCTACAAAGATTTCTTGGCTCCCTCTCACAGCTGGACTGGTTACAAAAAGCAAGAAGGAGTCTTTCATCTTTTACTGTCTCCTAGGCCCTCTTCCCTCCTCCAAAATGCTAGCCTTTTCCCCACTCAGTGTGGCTTCCTCCTACTGTTCTCTCTCTGCGTGGCAGTCTGTCTCCCTAAAGCCAAATGGCCTTGTAGATTGAAGTGGTCACTTGTGACCATTTAAAGGTGGCAGTGACTTAGAAAACACAGAGGCTGGCATGAGTGAGCTATCCCAGATGGTACAGTGGCTGCCTTACTGCCTTTTGCTACCTATACTATGGTTTCAAAATATAGGCCGGAACCAGCTGCAATGTGGCCAAAAACCTAGCCCACTGACCTTGAGTTGGTTCTTACTCATAGTAATTCTATAGGACAGACTAGAACTAACCTCCCTATATTGTTTCAAAGTTGTAAATCTTAACAGAAGCAAACTGTCATTACTTCCTCTTGTGGAACAGCTGGTGGGTTCCAACCACCTACCATTTGGTTAAGAATTGGATCCTTTACCACATGCCACTAGAGTTCTTGCAACATGTAGTGTGTACTAATCAGCCTTGAGTCTCATAAACAGGTGTTAGTCCAATAATAAATGAGATCATTTTTCTTTCCATCCTACACCTTCTTGCTGCAAAATAATGGGGAGATCTCCTAGTCTGAACATCTTTGATATTAGCTTTCATCTGGTTTTATCAGGATTAAGATTAGGAGGTGGGGGAAGTCTGTAATTTCTAAATATTGTTATTTGTTACCCTTAAGGCCATTCCAACCCACCATGACTCTGGGTGTGCAGAATAGAATTGCTTTACAGAGTTTTCAAGGTTATGACCTTTAGAAGCAGAACACCAGCCTATCTTGCCAGGCACCTCTGAGAGGGTTCAAACTGCCAACCATTCAGCTATTTGTGGAGCACTTAACCATTTGGGCCAGACAGGGACTGCTCTCTACAACGGAGAGCACATCTCCAGGAGCAGAATTAGTTTAATATGTGATTGATGTGGCTTGGGGAACACTGTCTGCTGTCTTCTTTACTGATCGTGATAAAGGTTCATCATTGGTATTTCTATTAAAGTTATTTCTTTCGGCTTGAAGAACCTCTTTGAAATCACCAGTCCCTATTTTGGATTCTCAAGTTGTCTCAAGGCGTAGGTCACAGCAGTAGAGTCAAGACGGGTAGTCCTGGAGCAATATGTCCCGAGTGACAAGCCTGACAATCAGAGTGATGGATTGGGGCTGGGAAAGTGGTACTCAAAGCCAGGCAGTGACACCAGCGCGCCTCCACTGGCCGCCGAAAGCACGGAGAAGTGGTCTCCCCAGAGGCGGCTGCACAAAGAACCAGATTCACCTTCTGATAGGCGGTAGACAGCAAACTTTAATGCGTGCACAGTGACTACTTAAATTCTCTGCCAAGAGCGAAGCTGGCCCTGCGCACTTTATCCGAAAGGCGCGGGGGCGCGTTGTTCTATTTTCTAAACAAGCTTTTATTAAAATTCCCCTGGGAAAGCCTAGTGTCTTTTCCCGGGGGAGGGGCGTATCTCTGGAGTTTGTGTGGATGTGTTGCAGTTAAAGAGAAATTCATTCTTGTTCTGGTGCACTAGCTTCTCGTGTGGTCCTGGGTACCCGCAAAACAGCAGACAGACGTGGTGCAGTGGAGAGACTTTACGTTTCTAAACTGGGCAGTGTAGGAAACCTGAAACACGCCCAGCATCAAACCTATAAATCAGTGCTCAGGCACAGTGCGCCAAAAGCGTCCAGCCGGGGCTCGCAGCGTGGGGTGCCGCGCCTCCGCGCCAGCCTGTGCTCACGCTACATCTCAAAGATCTCACCCTGGAAGACAGTCCTCAAACTCGAGGGCTTGGACAGAACAGGCTTAAAGTAGTTGGAGCGATTCGCGCGTTGCCTTCGGAAACGGATGCCTCTGAGATGTTTCTAAAGAAGCACACCCGGACAGGACAGATCTGGGAAGGAGACTGGGGTAGAACTCAAGTCCCGCCAGACTCGTAGCTCTCAGGGCGCGCTCCGCCCCCAGGTGGTCTCTAGGAAAGACCTCGGAGCCAACAGCCGTGCATTCCTACCTCGGCTCCCCAACACACGGACACCTTGGAGGGTGTCAGACCCCACTGGCACCCATCCCGTGAGAAAGGCGGGAGAAGGTGGACAGTAAAGGCCACGGGGAATAGGGTGTAAGACTCTGGGTCTGGGAGAAGTCTAGTCACTTTGGGGACCGGTAAACCAAGGCCATCTCAGTTAGGGGGAGGGGAGGTGTACAGCGGTGGTAAAAGGCCAAAGCTGCGGCGGCCGCGCGCCCGGGTGAGGCTCCTTTAAGGCTCTCCCCTCCCACCGACAGCGCCGGCCTCCGCCCTCCGCTCTCCCCGCCCCGGGTCCCGGCGAGCGCTGCGATTGGGCGGGCGCGGCGATCCCTTTGAAGTGTGGCTGCCGATCGCGGCTATTTGACGTGCGGCTCGCGGAAGGCGAAGGTTTTTGTGTTGCTCGCCCGGGCTAGAGGCAGCGGCGGCGGCGACGTCGGTGGAGGAGGGGAGCAGGCGCAGCAGCAGCTGCACGGCGCTCGTCGCTGCGGAGCGAGCCCACCCGCCCCGGGAGCTCGCCTCCCCGGTGCTCCCCCTCCCTCCCCGCCCCCCCAGTGGCGCTGCCTCCTCCAAATGAGCGATTCGCCCGCTGGATCTAACCCAAGGACACCCGAAAGCAGCGGCAGCGGCGGCGGCGGAAAGAGGCCGGCAGTGCCGGCGGCGGTGTCCCTCTTGCCCCCGGCGGACCCCCTGCGCCAGGCGAACCGGCTTCCTATCAGGGTCCTGAAGATGCTGAGCGCTCACACCGGCCACCTCCTGCACCCGGAGTACCTGCAGCCGCTGTCCTCCACTCCCGTCAGCCCCATTGAGGTCAGTCTCCCCGGCCGCTGCTCACTCAGCGCCGTCCTCATTCCGCCTATTCCTCCCGGGCACACGGCCCTGTTCCCTGCGCCCCGGGGCTCAGTGAGACACCCGGTTCGGCTAAGCTGATTGACGGGGTGCGGAGGGACTGAGAAACGGCAGGATCTGAGCCCATCCAGTATTCCCAGGCTTCACCGTGGAAGATTCCCTTCCACTCATGCCTTTCAGAGCTATGTGTTTTCTCCCTGATTGCATTTGCTCTTAAGTCCCCACTGGGCCCTTTACTTTTTCCTGCAGCACCCAGTTTCCCAGCTAGAGCTGATCTCCTCTGGGGTTCGCTTAAGGGCCCCACCCTACTGTTCCCTTTGAAGGCCGATCCGCCCCCGTCCCACTGCCCTTCTGTCCCATCCGGTTAGGGCGCCCGACGCCCAAGCACTCCGGGTCCCGGGTCTTTCTTCCTCCCACTTCCCGGGGTGCTCTCCCTAGGAGGGAGGGGCTACTGTGAGAGTGCCAGAGGCGGCCCTTCCAGAATGCGCTTCTGCCCGCACCTACCCCACGGTGCCACCGCCAGAAACCCGTCCCAAACGAAGTTGTCCAAACTGAAAGAATAAGTTTTTCCCTGGACCTAGAGGAGGGGGGAGATTGGCGTGAAAAGGAACAGCTAGAGCCTCTCCCTCCCTCCCTCCATCCTCGAGAGAAACCTCCCTGGCAGTGCGCTTTGGCGAGTCCTTTCCACTGTCCCACTCCCTATAGCCCATGGCGCACTCTGGGACCGGTAGGCGCTAGGGACCCCGGGAGGCACGAGGTGAGCGCAGCTCCGCCCAGCTGCCCCGCCCGGGCCGGGCCGTAGCTGCCTGGCCTTCTCCCCAGGCTCCTTCCCGCCCCGTCGCGCCACCGCCCTCGCGCCCAGCACCTCCCGCGCCACCCAGCTCCCCGAGCGCCTGGCTTGTTCCCTTGGTGTCGCGGTCTCATCCTCTTGCCGCTGTCTCCCACAGCTGGACGCCAAGAAAAGTCCACTGGCGCTACTGGCCCAGACCTGCTCGCAGATCGGCAAGCCGGACCCGCCGCCCTCGTCGAAGCTCAACTCCGTAGCCGCGGCGGCCAACGGACTGGGAACCGAGAAGGACCCCAGCCGCTCCGCCTCGGGCGTCGCCTCTGCGTCAGCCGCCCTCAAACAGCTAGGAGACTCCCCTGCTGAGGACAAGTCCAGCTTCAAGCCCTATTCCAAGGGCTCCGGCGGCAGCGACTCTCGCAAAGACGGCGGCTCCTCCTCCGTGTCCTCCACCTCGTCCTCGTCCTCGCCCCCCGGAGACAAGGCGGGCTTCAGGGTCCCCAGTGCCGCCTGCCCTCCCTTTCCTCCGCATGGAGCGCCGGTCTCCGCGTCCTCGTCCTCGTCCTCCCCCGGCGGCTCCCGGGGCGGCTCCCCGCACCACTCTGACTGCAAGAACAGCGGGGGCGGCGGCGGGGAACTGGACAAGAAAGACCAGGAGCCCAAGGCCAGCCCCGAGCCCGCGGCCATGAACCGTGGAGGCGGCGGGGGCGGCGGAGAGCCCGGCGCGCACGGCGGCGCCGAGGCCGGAACCTCTGGGCGCAAGTCGGAGCCGCCCTCGGCCTTGGTGGGGGCAGGCCACGTGGCGCCGGTGTCGCCCTACAAACCGGGCCACTCGGTGTTCCCGCTGCCACCCTCCAGCATCGGCTACCACGGTTCCATCGTGGGCGCCTATGCCGGCTACCCGTCTCAGTTCGTGCCTGGCCTGGATCCTAGCAAGTCTGGCCTCGTGGGAGGCCAGCTTTCGGGGAGCCTGGGCCTGCCGCCCGGAAAGCCCCCCAGCTCCAGCCCGCTCACCGGAGCCTCCCCGCCCTCCTTCCTGCAGGGATTATGCCGCGACCCCTACTGCCTGGGAGGTTACCACAGCGCCTCGCACCTCGGCGGCTCTAGTTGCTCCACTTGCAGCGCGCATGACCCGGCTGGGCCCAGCCTAAAGGCGGGGGGCTACCCGCTGGTGTACCCCGGGCACCCGCTACAGCCCGCCGCACTCTCGTCCAGCGCCGCCCAAGCGGCCCTCCCTGGCCACCCGCTCTACACCTACGGCTTCATGCTGCAGAACGAACCGCTGCCGCACAGCTGCAACTGGGTGGCAGCCAGCGGGCCATGCGACAAGCGTTTTGCCACCTCGGAGGAGCTGCTCAGCCACCTACGGACCCACACAGCCCTGCCGGGGGCCGAGAAACTTCTGGCCGCCTACCCCGGGGCCTCGAGCCTGGGCAGCGCTGCCGCCGCGGCCGCAGCCGCCGCCTCCTGCCACCTGCACCTCCCCCCGCCCGCCGCCCCCGGCAGCCCCGGGTCGCTGTCCTTGAGGAGTCCACACACTTTGGGGCTAAGTCGGTACCATCCCTACGGCAAGAGCCACTTATCCACAGCTGGGGGCCTGGCGGTGCCGTCCCTTCCCACAGCCGGACCCTACTACTCGCCATATGCGCTGTATGGACAGAGACTAGCCTCAGCCTCCGCGCTCGGATACCAGTAACTACAGCTTTTTCTCCCTCTTTTCCCGTCCATCTTCTTCCCCCTCCTTCTTTCCCCCAACCGCCGTCGCTGCAACCTCCACTACTGCTTGTCCCTCCTGGGATCCCCCGCCCTCCCCACCGGACTGTGTATTTATTTACTATAATGTTAGCTTACAAGCTGGGAATATAAGTGCATTAACGGCCCACACGAGTCAATGGTATGCAAGAAGTCTGTGTTCCCCCCAAATAATAATATTAATCACAAATAATTACATGATCTCCCCGCCCCTCTTCCTTTCTTTTTCTTTCTCCCCCTCCCCCCATATACATTTTAATTGTTCTCTTTTTGTTCCTTTTTTGATTGGTTTGGTTTAGAGGGAGGAGGGAGAATTGGGGTTCTTTGATTCTTCTGTTTATTTTTACTTTCCTGGGGAGTTTCTTGCATGACTCTTAAATGTTAAAACTACATTTCCTCTTCTCTCTTTCCCTCTCTCCCCTTCATTCCTTCTTGTTTCCTTCCATTCTAGGTTGTATTTTCCTTTGTCCAAGTAACATGGAGGTTTTTTTTTCCCCCTCATGCGTTTGAGGAGGTGGTGGCATTGGTGGTGGCTGGTCTTGAGTTCTGTTGACCAAGATCTCTGCTCCTTGACTCCACCCTGCAACCTTTTCCTCCTACGGCCCACCTTGGTCTGGGCTCTGCCCCCACAAATTAAAACATTGGTCGCCCACTTTGCTCTGAGCATCAAGAGCCCTGACCCCCACCACCGCACCACCGGCCTCCTCAGATAGAAAGGCCTCTAACGAAGCCTTTCCCCAACTTTATCCCTCTTGGGACAACCCCCCCCCCCCCCGACTGCTCACTGGGGGACATACAGGGCTCATCTTATTCAACTAAAAGCCCTAGCAGGTCCTACTGGCACAAAACTTTGCTCTTTATATTTTGCGGAAGTGCTTTATAGTCATTATTTTTCTCTTCATCATTGGGGCAGTCACCCCCTCCCCAGGTGGCAGGGGTGGGTGATGCTCTCTCTAAATCCCTCCAAATGCAGACCAGAGGCAATGTCAGAGGACAAAGCAATCTTGTTAGCTCCCCTTGGGGAAGGTTGAGGAATCAGGGAGCATGGATCATAGCCGTCCTTCATCCCCCGCCCCCCCCCCCAGGTCTGACCCACAGAGTCCCTAAAGTTGGCCGTGGGCTCCCACAGGGGAGTGAAGTCTCGGCCCCCAGGTCTTCTCCCCACACCCTCTTTCTCTCCTGGTCTTATGCAGCGTGGAGGCTGCTGGACCTGCTTGGGATGAATAGAGCTCTCCCTTGGTAAGACTTATTTTGTTAATAAATGGAATACTTGGCTATATTCACACCGTGGTGTGTTTCTCTCTTGCTTCACTCACCATCTCACTGTCAGCTAAGCAGATGCCCGTCTTTTATTCTTGTTTAAAATAGATATGGTTTCCTTCATAAATTTCCGTTCAGGGACAAGTTTTACTGCCTTTCCTCAAGGAAAGAGAAGAAAAAACCCTAAAACTTCTGCCAACGCATTACAAATAACATAAAACCACCTTTATTATTTTTTTCCACTTAGTTATTTAGCTCCCAGCCTCACTTCAAAGGCTTTGACATTTCCTGGGGCCAGAGTGGAGGGCGTGTGTGAATGTGGATTTTCCTCTGGGCCTAGATCCAAGGTGCAAGGGGCTAAAGACGGGAACCAGTAGAGAGGGCTCAAGCCGAGACTCGCAGCGACACTGCCCCTAGCAGGGCGGCTGCGCAGACAGCGGGCCTTTGGCGCCATCTGGTGGCTTGAAGACGAATAACAGGTGAATAGAAAATCGCCGCTGGCGCCAGCCCCGACGGCAACTTTCGCGCTTTCCTTCTCTGCAAAATGCGGAGTTCTAGTTCCAATTTTCGTTAGATTTGAGAGTTGGGGTTGTGGGGTTTTTTCTCCTGATTTTACTTTTTTTCTGATCTTGCTTTTTTTATATACCTTGAAACGAAGGATAAATGCACTTGCTGACAGAGGTGCTCTTTAAAGCTTGTGGACCCCACAATAGCGCCCCTAGAGACTTGTAGGATCATGGTTTGGATTTTACTAAGTAGTGGTGAGCCTGAGAGTGACACAACTGAAACTGGCTTCTGTCCTCTTCGGGCAAGCGAGAGTCAAGGCGCTGGTCATTAGGGTGGGGCCTCTGAGATCTTAAGTGCGTGCAAGGGAGGCCCCAGCGAGTCTTGGGCCTGTGGACTCCGAAGGTGTCACTGTGGCTGCGCCACGTTCTCTCTGGTGCGAACTCACGTGTTCTCGAGAGACAAGGTGGAAGGGGGCGAGCTCGCGGAGCCCCCGCCTGTCAGGTCTCGGTGGTGCGCTCCGGGGCGCTGGGGACGCGCCAGGCCACCTGTGGCGCGTGCTTGCAGCAGCCTCTCTCGCCCCCTCCTGGCCACTCAGCTCCACTTCCGAGTGTTAGCGCAGGGCGATTCGGTGATGGTTTGCAGACGCTGTTGGTTTGCTTTTGGTTTGTTTTTATTCTGGGAGGAGTGCATGCTCTGAAAGCCTCTAAGACGTCAGTAGGTATGAGGTCAAGTATGGAAAAAGGCGCTTTCTCTTGCGTGCGCTCCCGCAATTATCCAGACACGCGACTGATTCTTATGGGCAACCTCGTCCTACCCTGAAGACGAAGGAATCGCAGCAAAAGTTTCTTTGCCCCGAAGGCTTTGCATCTAGGTGAAATTCGTGTTTTCGTTGGGCAAGAGAATATTCTCAAACAAAGGATGCCAGGAGACCATGTGTCCAGTGGAGAGAAGCTTGACATCAAAACACTGGCTGCTAGGGTGACGGGCACCAGAAAGACTCCATTAAGGGAAGGCTGAGTGGGATGGAGAACTCACTCTGCGACCAGCTCCAGGTCTCTCTTGGGAATCAGCATTATTCCAACTTCCAGGCACTGAAATTGACTCATATCTTTACACGACCTGTGACTTGTTGGGTCAGTTTCTATTTTCGCTATTGCTTTGTTTGCTGGATTTTATGTCTTCTTTTCCTCACAAGACCCCTTTCCTTCAGATACCCCATATGTGCATTAATATATATGTAACAAAATATTTGCCATTCAGCCATTCCCTATTTTCTCTTAAAGCCTGCTTACAACAGGTGGAAACAGTTCCCCTCTGCAGGGGGACTTAAACTTCCTAAAGACCAAAATACTCTTCTAGTAGGGACAGGAGAAAGAGAGACTTCTATTTCTCATAATTGCCCAATTCTCCACATTCCAGCAGGAGGAGGATTTGAAAACTACTTGGACTCGAGTTCTCTCTTGTACTGGCGACCTTGAAGAAAGATGCTGCTGGACCTGGTTGCACCAGGCTGCTCCCAGCTACCCCTATAGTGACACGAAAGGGCAAGTAATGTAGTCTGGCGTGTCCCAGTTCTTAATCTGAAATGTCAGCTCTCCCCATCAGTAAATTGGTCATGTTCCTGAGAAATGTGGCTGCTTTAATTAGCGTGGGGAGTTGGCGGCTTTCAGGAGCTTAAGTCTCATTAAACAAAGTTGCCATTTTAATAGAGATAGTACTCCCCACCAACTGCTTACTTACATAATTAATTCATCCAGCAACCCTTTCTTTGAGAATTGCCTCTACCTTTTCTTTCTCCATCCCCTTCTCTTCCTTGCCCTCCTCCCCTACTTCCTCCTAATCTCCCTCAGGCGCCAGGATTGGGGCCTGTGTTCCCTAAGCACCAGGAAGGGTGGAAGCCACAGAGCTGGAACTTGAGACACTGGACGTTCCTGGCTTCAGGTCATGTTTTCACACCTCTTGCCTGGTTATTTTTGTGGCCTTGTGGGCAGCAGTGGGAGGAAGGGAGGAGAGGGAGGGGAAAGGCACCCTTAGAGGTTTGCTTCAAAGAGAGTTGTATGGTAAGTTTTTTTCACTTCTCCATCATCCACCCACAAACCCCTCTCCTAAGAAATGTATGGCCCAAGCAGGAGGTCTGGGGCCCTTCACCATAGTTCCCCAGCCACGACTGTCTTGCCCTGCCCACCAGACCTCCAATCACTTCTCTCAAGATGTGAACTCCCTCCCTCCTGATGTATGTCTGGGTTACCGGTGGAATCCATCTTGCAATAATTCTGTGCCCCTGCACTATATTAATCATTCTGTGGGGGAAGCTGCACTCAAGTTTTCTGTTTGATTTGATTTCATCCTGTCTTTTTGCAAAATAGATGGTTGAGTGCATCCGATAATGTATGGTTTAATTTGGAGCACTATGGGTTTGAATTACCATTTTCATAATGTGCTGTGCATTAATGTGTTACATCATTTATAAAGAGGAATGTGCTGGGTTTCCAACTTTCTCCTGAAAGCCAAAGTCCCCTAAAGGAAACAAAGCCAAACCACCTCAACCCATCTTCTTACCTCCCTTGCCAGAGAAACTCCTGCCTCCCCTAGGCGGGTTAAAGCCGCCAAAGCTCATAAAACTCAACATGAGGCTTTTGTATTCACATAATGCAGGTGGGTGTCGAGGTTTGGGGGAACTTGCACATGGCTGCCTGAGCCTTCAATGGCAGCACAAAGCTCCCCCTCATTATTGCATAACAACAGCTTTGCAGCCAACCCCGTTTGAGTTTGCGAAGACCTCCAGTGGATGGCTCTCCTTCGACCCTAATCCCAGCACTCCCTCCCCAATGGCTTAATAACACCAGCTGTCTGTTACTCAAACTCTGACTGAGGAGGAAAAAGCACTGATTATCCAAATACAGTCATTAAAGGGGAAATGTGTTTTTAGGACTGTCAGAGTGATTAATGAGGGCTAGCCGTCTTTGCAAATGCACTTGTTTAGTCTAACTGGCAGCTTCTATTTTCCTATTGATTTATTGCAGCCGTTGCCGGGCCTTGGTGTGTGCGAAGTCAGGGCACTTCACAACTGCGCCCTGTTTAAACAGGAAAAGCATGCACCATTTTGTCCGGGAGGGAGGGAACAGCCGAAAGTCTCTCCCAGCAGCTTAGTCTCCTGGGGCCCTGACCAACAAAGAAGACATTAAAAACCTGCAGGCCACAGAGGGAAGGAAACTGCCTCCCCTCCGCCATGCCCAGCACTCACTTCCAAGGTCAGTGGAGACGCACCACGGCCCCTGGACAAAGCCGGCCCTATTGTAAGACTCAGCATGCCCACAATCTCTCCTGCAGTCCCCTCAAACCAGCTGTCAGCCACTGGGTC